CCCCCGCCTTTCGCGTTTGATGATATCGGCTGCCTACAGTGGGACTAAGTTGTTTGCAATGAACAGAAAAATTGCAAGCGACCTTTTCAGCGATTGCATACACAGTCGCTTGAGTGTGGGCAGACAACTGGAGGGGAATTATCGAAGCATCGCACTGTGCATGCTGTTAGCCTCGCATCAACAGATGGTGAAATGGACCGACCACACGGAGGTTAGCTGTCCCGTACACTCGCAGCGCCGGGTCGACAACCCCGCCCTTGTTCCGTGGCAGCATCGCAGCCGTACCAATAGGGTGGAAGACCGTCTCGACAGCACCACGGATGTAATCTGTGATTTCTTCGTCTGTTTGTACTTCTGTACCTGGTACGATCTCAGAGAGAATAGGGCTGAGGCTCGGCGTGGCCACAAGCTTCCGTGCGAATTTAATAGCGCGCACAAAGAGATCGAGGTCGACCTGGTTGTCCAGAACATTGTAGTCGATGAGCGGGGCGGCGAGCGGATCTGTGGAGGTGATATGGACACTCCCGCTCGAGAAGGGGTGTATCAATCCTAAGAACACCGAACAGTAATTCTTCCCGGCCTGGGATGTGTGCCCGGCAGTAGGGATAAATCCCGAACGAAATGCTACTCTTGATATGATGGTCAGACAAAATCGCGTGGAGACATTGGAGACCTACTCAAGGAGCGGAACCTCATCCTGGCCGAGCCAGTCTCTCTGAATGCCCTCCATCGCAGGGTGAAGCTGTGTGCCGATTTGTTCTGGGATCGCATAACTCGGCTCCACAAAATGACCCCTTGGAAGGAACGAGAACAACGTTGAGAATGCTACGGAGAGCACTCCCGTCCTGGACTCTTCACTGATGCACACCAAACGATGTATCATCTAACTCAAGAAGCTTGAAGCAGTGGGTACTTACTATAGCTTCCATTCCTCGGCCGCGCGGACGGGATCCCTCATAAGATCCGTCGACTTGTATTCCGTCTCGGTGATGAAGGGACAGTAAAAGTGTTCCTGAAGCAAGATTAACGCCGACCTGTTTTCGCCATGTACTCAGAAACAGAACCTCTGCAGAGACAGACCCAGATGTTGGTCAGGTTACCAGTCGACAGAGAATGAACACCTACGCAGATTGCTCCCAACTCCCGGGAGATCGAGCTTCACGTCAACCCCATGCGATTTCAGCACATTCTTATCGCCTATCCCTGTTCAAGTTCACAGTGAGGACGATGCGCCTGCGAAAGATCGATAGAATACCTGAAAGTTCGAGTAGCTGGGGCGTTTGAAAAGAACCTGCCACTCAGCAAGAAATTCCACAAGTAGATGCTCCGCTCACCCGCGCAGAGAATGACCTCCTCTTGGGCGACAACCACATGTACCTGGCCATCCTTACGGTATTGGACTCCAGACGCAACCAGATTCCCAAATTCGTCGCGCGCCGAGTTGAACAGGATTTCCGTAGCGTGCGCCCCCGTGATAACTACAAGATTTGACCTCGATTTATTGGTCTCGTAATACGTCTGTGGAGAGATAGCTGGGAAAGTAGACACAATGCGATTACTTTTAAGATACGCACTGAGGCAGAAGAACTACGCGCTCCCTGCGAGTCGATCGAATGGTTGCTGATCCAGATGCCCGTGTTATCACCCGAAGCCTGTTCCCATGAATACACCAGGTAGCCGCGGTATGGGATAATATTCTTACGGCGTCGGGATTGAATGCAATACCAAGTGAATTCATGCCTTGGAGCAATGGCGCCTGCAAGTCATTGATATATCTGGGCAGTGTCCGCTGGAGTGGCCCAGACGTTCCGTGGGCAGCTGCACTGACAGTGGGCTGGAATTTGGAGATGTCTTCGGCAGTCGGTGCGAATGTCTCCGACTGAGAGAACCCTCGTCAGTCAGCGCGGCTAGCAGACATCGGCGGGCCGGAGTAAACCTTTCGAAAATATTCAAGTAATCCTTCGAAGTCCCATCCAGGCGACCCCAGCGTTTCAAATGCTGAACACGACCAATTTTAGTGACAGCCGACAACGAGCAATGCCTAAGGGGCACTGGCCATTATATTCAGCCTGATGTCCCCTGTCGGATATTGGAACTTTAATTCGTGTTGAAACAAACGGCAGTAAACGGCTTACCTTCCCAAAGTCATGAGATTGATCTTGGATGGCGGTCAGATACAACACCCCTTCTTATACAACGAACCGCAACCTTACCATGCTACTGCCACCGAGGCATTTGCCCCTCCCGCCTCATGTGAGTTTCAATCTAGAACAATGATGAGAAAACCTCTACCTTGGAAGATACAGAGAACGATTTTTGGCGTTCACCTGCGGAGTCGACTGAAAACCCCAGTCGACCCTCGGTTGCCTCCAATTCTTATACGCAAACCCTTGGACTGATAACCGGCCTGCTAGGAATGCGCAAAGAAAACAAGAGCGCACCAGGGACGACGATATTCAACTCCTGGGTAACATCTTCACCAGCCTCGAGGACGCACACACTGGTCGCAGGGCCCTCAGCCAATCGAGTTGCAACTGCGAGACCAGCAGTTCCGCCTCCAATCACGACGTAGTGGAAAGCATCGGGAGCCATTGTGATGCGGATCTTGAATATCGATAGCGCAGTTGGTCTCGGAAAGACGTCGAGGAGCGAAGAAGAGAGCCAGTCATCGTCGAGCTTCTGAAGAATCAGATCGGGAACAGCGGCGAAGCGCTTGCCGAACTAACCTGTTAGCCCCAAGAGTAACCCGAAGCCGCTCCTCGGACTCCGAAACCGATGAGATGTGAACAGAGCCTTATTCAATTTTTTCTCTCTCTCTCCTCTCAACTAAGTAGAAGGCGAGTTAAAAAGCGGGAAAATGCTGAACTGGCTTGGTGCCGAAGTTGGACGTTGGACCCGAAATCCCTTCGGACTGATAGATGGGATGAAAAATGAACAAGAAAGACGGCGTCCAGCCCTGCAACAGCCCTGTGTATGAGTGTCGCATATACCGTCCATTAAAGGCATCCCTAGCCTCGGTCGTGTTCAAACGATAACTCTAGTTCTAGAATTTCAGCTAATTTCGCGGTTTAACGGTCTGTCGACTGTAGCGAGGAGCTAATATTCCTTCTTGGATGAACAAGTCTCATTCCATTACTGACGCGGCCACGTCTGAAGCGGCCTTTCAACTCAGAGCCAATATCCCCAACTTGGGTGCCAACTTACAATTCTGGGAATCCGAACCACCCGAGGTTGGACCGGTATAAGTATGGTCTGGGAGACGTTATGTCGTCGATTCTGTAGCTTCCGTGGCGCGTGAACAGGGAGGATAGTCCACAGGTGGCGGGTTGATTATTCGTCCCGTCCGTCGCTGTCATTAGTAGGTGCGTGTTCTTTCCCCAACAGCGCGTAAAATGGGCGGACATCATCTTAACACGACCGGGGGAGCTAAGAGACGCGCGTCAAATGCGAGACCTATCAGTGGAAACCTGAGCAGTGAGGTCTGCAGCTTTCCGAACCGTCACTCAATCATTTGGCGTGGAGCACGAACATCCTAATTGGGGGCAATATTCATGAGGCGGCCGTGCATCAACGGCACTGTAAGCGGAAGCAAAATACAGAAGCCTCTTGACGGCGGTTGCGTTGATCTGCCTGCTATGCGGGTAGGAATGTTCTGATTACTTAGGTCTGCGATGGCTTCTCAGACAGGGCGGGGGCCGTGATCGCATCGGAGCAAGTGCTAAGGGATCTAGCGGCAAATGAATCAGAAAGTCGGTAGTCATCAGGTAAAGAAATTCTGGATGGGAGAAGTGAAGGGTGATAACGGACGGAAAAGACGATGAACATTGTTACATTGAACGCACGTCGCAGAGCAGATTTGACATGGAGGCGGGTTCGACGGCTGTGGTCGTGACTGATAGATAAGGCCGACAGGAGAGCAAGACGGCAGACGGCAAATACTGAGTAGGTGTGTTCGGGCTCGGTCTCATCTCGCGGGTATCTTGAATAATATACCAAGCCGATGCGGCAATGGAACTGATATCTCCGCACCCGGAGCAAGCCAGTGTCGTAGGAGTTGTGATGGCCCGGCGCACGGATATAAATGGGGAGGAACCATATGCATGCGCTTCTCGGTCGCCGTCCACCGCAAGCCAACCGCAAGTTGGAAGAATCTCCACAAAACCGATCTGTCAACCGGACGGCGATCGGAAGGAGCATCACGGGCCGCAGCGCCCGGTACTGTCACGGTGAAGTGAAAGACACACTGCCGATGTTTTGAATGGCTTACAGCTCCCCGCCATCGAAATCTACGGGAATCGGTATGGAAGCTGTCAGATGGAAAAAATCGAACAACGCCGAGAACGCCGAAATGATGACTAAGCGTGGTTGAAATTGCTGTTCAGCCTCGGCCGGCTCAAAAGCCAGAGGGGATTCGGAAGGAAATATCCTCGTCATAATTTATGACTCGAGGCTGACATGCAGCGGGGTTTCTGCACAGCACAGCTATGGAAACACCGAGAACACTACTGTTCTGGTACAGCATGTTCAACTTTTGGTTCAATAACTAATTATGAAGTTTAACTACTTATGTGCTTGAACGCGCACCTTTCCGTCATACCATGTAATTGCATCAAGGGCTCTATTTGCACGGCCATGCTTACTATAGCTCGGACCGGACCGACCCGTATCCCACATTGTCCGTCAAGGTAAGTCAATGCCAGCCTTCCATCTCCCTGTCCATCACGTCCCCGGCCATTAATGGTAAACCACTCCCAAATCGTGGTGAGCTGCAACAAATATCTGCGGGTGATGTCCCAGGGGGGTTTGTTCTTGGAAAATCGTGATTTTTTCTGCGAGTAGCTCAAGTTGCGTGTTGCATCCATGGGGCAATCCATCGAGCCTTGTTCCGCTCAGGACTCGACGCAAATATTCGCAAATCATCTCATAGATCGCTCATAGATCGCGGTAGATGTTGGAGATATATGTATGTGTGTTGTATGTACACTCCTGGCTCACTTGTTGTTCGCGTAGCTTACCGGCAAAGCGCTCCTTGAAGTATGATGAAACTTGTCGAGGAGAGACGTGGGTTCGACTCCTACCGCAGACAATGCAATCCCACCGGTTTGGTTTTGCCCGCTGGAGCTCAGGACTCGAGCGACTCTCTCGCAAATTCCTTGACGGATCGAATCTGCCAAATGACTACCAGGCGTTGAACTACCCGCATCTGCGCATGTACATTTATCGCAAATTAAGAAATGAATCGTTCAATCATCCCGGCAGGGTTGGAGAGCCGCCTCAGCACTTTGTCAGTCATACGAGATGGTGGGCGGACTCTACGGTGCAAGGGTCTACTGTGTACGCACTCTGACGCCGTCGAAGATGTTCGTGTTTTCCAAGCTCCCAGTTCAAATTCACTTCGAACGTTTCCGTGGCTTAGCAGGCAAAGCGCTTCCCTAAGCTGTACAATCTGCCAGCTTTGTGTTTCTTTTTTGACGCCAAAGAGTCCGCAGCGTATGGCTAGACAGCCACAGTTTACGATGAAGAACGGTACCGACCTCTTTGCTTCGAGTCGATATAGCAGTTCGCTGTTATCTGAAATCCGGTTATTGGCACCGGCGTCCGGGGCGTCGGTGGGCATCCAACTCGACAGCTTTGTCCGATATGGGGGCTAGGATATTTGGCCGCGTCGGCCGATCAGCGCCGCGTCGCGGCCGCGTTACATGGTAGCACCGCCGCGTCCCAAAACCACATCGCCGCGTCGCAGCACCATACCGCCGCGCCGCCACATGCAGTGGCCGCGTCAGTTCTCAACATCGCCGCACACTGCCGCTGCCCCGGCTTTACCCTTCCCCGTGATACCGCGTACCAAAACCAACCGTGGCTTGTTGCCATAACCAGGAACCTGCGTACACAACACTAATACTCCAAGCCTCCAATCAACGGCAGGCCACCGTCTGGACTGCACGCTACGAAAACAAATGTATCAGTTGTTGCCGTTGGCAGCCGTGCATGACCTCAAAATGTCTATAGCACCGTGTATTCTGTAATTGAACAACCACAATTCACCTACTCGGAGTCCTCGTTATCACTACCACTCTCTACCTCATACCACCCTTTCCCTTGTGCCACCACTTTACCTGTGGGTGCAGCTGGTGCTTTTTTCCCCGCGGCTGGCTTCTTCTCTCGACTGCGGAGCTGGCGCTGCTGCGTCGTTTGCCGTTTGGGTACGGGTAGGTCTTCTTCTTCATCGTCCGATCTCTGGCGGCGCGCCACTCTTTCACCGACCGATGCCACGGCCGGCGCTTTTTTCTGCTCCAGTGGCCTCTTCCCCTGGTTCCGCTGCTGCTTCGCTTGTCTCTTGGGCGCGGGCATGTCGTCCTCGTCCTCTTCCGGCCTCGGACGTGTTTTTCTACGGCGAATTTCAGTCTTCATTTTCTTTGGATGCCCCTCCGAAGCGTCGTCTGTGGGAAATTCAACCGGGATGCGAGGACGTCTACTCTCCAGAGGCGTCCCGGGCTTGCGACGGTATAGCTGTGGGTGGTATTCGGGATCGCGCATCGAGTGGATCGTTGCAAAATTGGTTGTAGCCTGTTTGAATGCGTCGAGAGACCAGTACTTCTTGTGGCGAAGCACTCTGGGCTTCGTCGCAAGAAACATATGATATAAGGCGCCAATTGCCTCCACAGGCACGGCCGTGATGGCGTTGTCGACGAGCTCCTCGAATGTGGCACCGCTCAAATCCAGAGGTTCTCCAAGCTCGTGCTGTAGCGCCAGGATTTGCAGCATGGCTCGCCCCACACCTATAACCCGATAATGTCGCTCTTGCTGGCCTGGAACAGAAAGCACCCTGAAATCCTTCAACCTCTGCAGGGGACGCTCCATCAACGCAATCAGTTCCGGGAGCGGGTCAACCAGCCTACGCAATGCAGGCCAATCTTCCAAACGCGTCTCCCGCGCCTCGTCGGGTTCGTCCTCGAAGAATGTTGTGTATGCCAAGATCACGGGATGGTCATCCGAGAATGTTCGCAAGACGGTAGCAAGCGGATTAATTGCTGCGTCGAAGATCTTGACCAGCGGGTGGTCCTCCGGAGGGCAATCCGTCCATTCGGCTGGAGCACGAATCATCCCCATCTAAATAGTTTTCAACGGATGAATAAAGCGGACAATATGATGCGCACCTGTTCAGGACGGAGTACAATTTTCAGAACCTCTTCACAGAATACGAGATCCGTGTGAAAATGCCTGTCGGGCGGCCAGTACTCGTCGTCTTCCATAGCCCAATCAATAGATTCATAGAAGCGAAACTCGTACTCCCTCTTCTTGTTTGAGGCATATGGGTGCCGTTTGATGAATAGAGCGGGATACCACAGCACACCGTCGTCTTGCCACTGATCCTTGGCCCGAGGATCAGGTAGCATAACAGTTTGTTTTGGAACAAGCCTGAAGTAAGGCTCACCGTTAGCAGCCGGAAAATAAAAGTAAGAAAATGTGACGCACAGTTTCGCCGTCGTCCGCGGTCGGCATGGGAAACAGGTGAATTTGAATTCTGGATCGTGCCAGTCTACCTCGCCATTCTCCGGCTGGCAGACAAAATGCGACCAAAATCCACACCGCTCACATTGAACTTCATTTGGGTTATTATCACCATCGCAGACCGATTGACACCAGTAGCAGTTGAGGGGGCATGGCGTATCCGAGTGGCTGGAGTCACTGTCAAAGGTGATGTCTTGAGATTGAGCATCGGAAGAATCCGCCTCCAGGGTGTTCAAGATCAGGTTGTCGACTGAGTCCTCATCGGCAGCATCGTCAGTGGCAGGTACATGCTCGTCCGCTTCATCGTTGATGACAATAACCTCGTTGTGGAATCTGGTTGTTTTGGTGATCTTGTTGCCGTGGACATGGCCCACGCGCGGTTGCTGCATCTGATATTCCCGTGTTTCCGCACGTCGAGTCGGACTTGTCCAGTCGTCGCGCTGGGCTGCCGTCATTTCTTTCAAGCCCGGCTGCATAAGCCGGGCAAGTGGCTGAGTCGCGTCCATTAGCAATCCCCACGGCGCGGCCTTCTCGCGCTCGAGCTGAAATATTTTTTGGGCAGGCTCACCACCTTCGAGGTGATAGACCATCGCAAGGAGCCTGTATCCACGCGGCAGACTGCTGAGGTCGGCCGACGGCCCAGACAACCATCCGGGAATGTCCGCATGCCCATCGTGGCGCATACCGTCGTAGTCGAATATTTTGGAGTTGTCTGGCGTGACGTAGCGGGTGATGAAATGAGAGCCGCTCCCGCGCTTCACGGTGTAGTTGGTGTAGATGTGCGCCGTGATGTTGTATTTGACCCGCTTCTTATTCCCCGCAAATCTTTTGCCCAGTGGCAGTAGCGTTGACGGAACAGTCCAAGCTTTTCCAAGCGAGTCGCCGACTTCGACGATCAGAACGACTGGTATGCTGATGATGTGCTCCTTGGCTAGAGCTTTCCCATTGCAGAATGGGTTGGAATCCCACTGGCGCCAGCAGGTCGCCGTCTCCCACTCCGAGGGATCCAACAGCCAGTTGAACCAGCGCCCCACGTCACCCCGGAATATTTGGTGCATCTGGTTGGAAAGCTGGAACTGTGCACGCCACTTCGGATGGGAGACTTCCCAGTGTTCCAGTGGCGCCGCTTCACATCCAGAACATCTTTTGACCTGGAGCGAGTATGTTCTGAAGAATGAAATGCAGCGCTTGCTGGCCGCATCCGGTGTGGGCTTGAGTGCGATCAGCTGCGCCAATATTTGCTGCAACCAGCCCTGTCCAATTTGGTGTCAGCCTTCCGGGTTTACCTCAAGGCGGAACAGTGGAGCACTTACGAAGGTCGCATCCGACGAGCCAATCGGTCCAGTCAATTTCCTCTCCCTCAGCGTTGTGCGAAAATGGTTCCGCATATCCGTCAGGACACGACAACCCCCAGACTCAAACCCGGGAAGAGCGGCTTGCTGAATATGGGTCCCAATTATCTTCAGCAACTGAAGCATCAGATGCCCGGGAGGTAGCCCAGCAAACATCATCTGCATCTGAGGGAAGTCCCGACTAGCCGCCGCAAATAATGCGGTCAGCGATGAGTCCAACCAGCAGGAGTTGTTCTGCCACGAAAACGAGCGTTGGACCTGGAGGAGTGGTGTTGGTGGCTTGTCCAGTGTCACTTCCTTCCCGTTGTTCCCTGCTCGCTTTTGTTTCTTCGTCAAGCGAGCAATGGTGTCTGGTGCGCGACCGTCCAGAGTCATTTTTGGGCGCGATTCGTGGCGACTATGTTTTGTCCACGAGTAACGGAACTTCGTGGTTTTCCAGTATTGTGGATCCCGACCATAGAAAACTTTATGGCCAGCTGTTCAAGCACTGTGAGTAATGATAAAACAAAACCACTTGGTACGCACTTCGGGCCGCCTCGTGGCTTCGCTCAAATGTCTCGCCTATGCGCACTAGACCTTCAAGCCCATAGAAAAGCGGATTACGGCGCCCAATCATGCGATAAACCCTGTGGTTCATAGATTCGGCACTGTTCGTCGTGGCAGGGAGCGACTTCCAGAGCACGAGGCTCATTTTGGATGCAACGAGGAAGAGCATGCTCGCATGGGCGGGGCGCATCCACCAACCGACCCATGGCTTTGCACCTGGGAATTTGAGAGTCAACACGTTGGCGCAAGCGAGCAGGTCCTCCATGGTAGTCTGGCGCAGAAGGTCCCGCGCAAGCTTGCGAAACTCGGACTGTTGATCCGGGCTGACAATCCGCGAGATCCTGGCTATTCGAGTAATCTGGTTCTCGAAATGCTGTCCGCAGCCTTTCAAAAGCTCACTTGCGGCTTGCTTCAGTTGACGTTCGTCTCGGTCATTGGGAGAAAACTCGAGCCAGAAGTCGACGAAACCATCTATGAAACCATTCCGTTGTGCATCGCTGAAATCAACGACCTGCGCGATGAACGGTGAGCTGTCAAGGAACTCAATCCACAAGACTGAACACTTACATTAGCAAAAAGGTCATCCGTTACATTACGCTTGGTTGCCCGACACTGTTCTGCGATTCCGCGGAAGAGATACAGAAAATGTATCCGGTAGTGAACCGCGCTTGCGCCA